GGGGGTCCCCAGTTACAAATAAACAAACTTCCACAAAGACAACAACACACTGACACTTGACAAACAGACAAATAACACAACAAATATTAAATACAGTACATGTACATGACCATGCAGCCCTTTGACTGCTGTAACCCCACAAGAAAGATATCGATCATTACTTGTGTAAGGCATTGGGCGAGCTAGTGCGCCTGGCAGAAATTTATCCACAATGCTTTGCACTTCGTTAGCTGTGACCCTGTGGGACATATTTCCTTCACTAAAATCTGTGCATGGGCCATCAGCTCCCCCCCTCCTTCCGAGTTTGGACGCTGGACAACGAGCGAACATGGCGACTGGCCAGACATGCCGGTCAGCCAACTCAGACTAGTCTCGGTCATGTCATGGAGCTAGGCCCGTATGTCAAATTGTCAGTGTTCACAGAAATTTAGAGAAAAAAATCAATGCAATGTCCTTCACCTTAGAGGATGACAGAGAGGAAAAGGCCACATTTTGGAGAGAAAAACATCTCGAAAAAAATAGCATAGGCTAACTACACTGTCCATATGTCCATACACACTACGGTGTCCGGAAACTGGTCAACGCCAGCTTCAAAATGACATAATCACCAGAATGAGACTGCAGTCGACTAGAGCATGCAACCGCACACCGCCACTGGCCCTGGCAGCAGTAGGCGTGGTACCAAGTTATGTTTGAGGGGATTTCGATCAGTTTTCAATATGATAACAGGACAAGTTTAACGTCTGTGAGAACTTTCAGAAGGCCCCACTTACCTTTAGAGTTTGATTTGCCGATGAGAAATTTTAAATTCGACAGCTTCTTGTCAGGTTAGAGCTTCAGCTTGTGTCATCCATATCCCCGCCTTACACCTGGCTATGTTACCGGTCAAACCAATTCTGTAGGGGTTATCGCATAATGTTGCATATAAGAGGGGGGTTGGTATATTCTTCAATGTGCAATCGTTAAAAGATCAATGTTTTCTTTCTAATACAAAGACTGTAATACTTCTGGTCTTTCAGTACTATTTTGCTAATACATTCAGCAGTAGTTTTGCAAGAGTTCTTTAAATTAGAAATAAATGATTCTAAAAGTACACGCACTATCTACACCCCCTAATTCTTAGAATAAGCCAGAGTAATCCGACGGCTGATGCATTTTTCAATTGTGACTCAATGGGATAATCGTACCGCGAAACCGCAAGTTCCTATCTCTTCCGTGTCCTTTCTCTATCATGCTTGAGATTGGATAAAAAATAACAAGTTCAACCATCCTGCAAAATTTCCAACTAAGGTTACAAAAAGTTGAGACGATAGGAGAAATGAAGAGATTAAATGAAATCCAGAGAATGAAACAAATTATAGAGCCATGATGCGTGCGGGGTGTTTAAAATGCGCGCCCCTATTTTGCCGAAAGTAAGTGAAAGGCCTCAACTCGATCCGAGTCACTGAATAAGAGATCTCAGATTGTTTAATTTTTAACTGTGAATTACACGAGCTGAAAGCCCCCGCTAATTATAGTATACTATCATAGAAATAAGGAAGGGCTGCGTGGCACTGTGATCAGAATATTAACAAGAATATAATATAAAATCAGTGCTCTAGAATTATGTGATTGCCGATCTTTCGGTAACTGAGTACCTTCTTCAGGGCAAGCAGATTCAGTTCTGGGAATGAACGCAGAAAAATCCACGTTCATTCCCCCTGGATGCAGTGTTCCAAGTTCAAAAATGACGCTCTGCTTCAGTTCCTTACGCTGCACATCGGATGACGCTTTCCGCGCGGGATGCAGACGCTTACGTCACCGAGAGTATGTGGCGGCGCGCAAAAGTGCTGCGCAACATTAACAGTGACACCAGGCGGCGTGTGGGCAAGCAGTGGATGGATGGATGGCAGCGCGTTCAGTGCAAATTGCCCATGACGCACTGGGAATGCTGGAATTTATTTACGTGTGCTCTCAAAATACGTTCCTTTTTTACTCTTTGGTACTGCTATCTCTTCTTTAAGTATTGCAACCGCATTGTTTTGAATATGCTTGAGCCAGATTAATTACCAGTGGATTTTTTTATCGTTTGCCCAAATGGCGCTCATGCGATTACAACGTTTTACGTGTATTCACCGTAGACGGCGAAGTTCGCCGTCTTGCGCCGCTTTGCGGCACTATACGGTCTTTGGTCTTCACTACTCCCCTGTACTAGTTAACATAACATAGCGTGTTTCTGTGATCCAAGCTGCGATAGACTCATTCACACAATCACCTGTTCGCCAGCGCATGGCTGTGCAGGTGGCACGCTGGATGAGACATTGTGATTGTCTTCCAAAACGCGCTGCTTCTTCAACGAAAACAATGTGGCTGTTGCCAGGCAAATTTGAGTCCAATTCTTTGTCTAGAGCTCGGTCAATGTTTCACTGTTGAAACTCCGATTCGTACTTGGCCAGTACCCGTGAAAGAAATCTTATAAAAAAAATCTTCTCAGTGCTACCGGAGCTACTTACACACAGGTTCATTTGAGGAGAATATGCTTAATATCTGGGTTGTGTAAAGTTTAATACATGTTCACGAAACTCGTCTTTATCTTGCGACTCTGATTTTAGCTTAGACGTGTTCACTGTGTTCTGAGATCAATTTTACTAAACCCATAGCAAACACGATTAAATGAGATTTTCTGAAGAAAACAAAGAACTTAAGAGAAAATTATCATCAAAGTCGTATTCCTGTACATTGTCTATGGTCTGCTCACACTTCTTGACCGCAGTCTGTAATAAGCACATTCCTCTGTCCACAGCCCCGGCGTAGCGAAAGCGGGAAGGGTTAGGGCTTAGGGAACGCATCCCTAAAAACAAAGAAATCTCCACCACCACCCCTAGAAATTTCGAAAGCAGAAAAATAGCATTATTGAAAAAGCACTTGGACTTGCACCCCTCCCTCATAACATCCACCTCCCCTGCTCAGCCCCCCCCCCAGCAAAGTGGCTGTGAGTGCCTTATACGCCGCTGCCTGTTCATAATGTAACTCTCCGCTGATGGGCGTATTTACAAAGTTAGACAGACATAAAACTATGTCCAAATATCTGCACCAAATCAACCTTTGGAAGCAAAATTCCACTACACTCCTTCGACGCTGTTAATTGACCGCTGTATCATAGTGAGGGCGCTATGCAGAATTGCAATTGGTACTGTCAAATAGGTATGCTTCATTCAAGGTTGACTTCGATCCCTCTCCACCGTAGAATCAGACTTGATGGCAAGCCGATCACAGAAATGCTTCGGTGTGGCTCTTGTATAAATGTTGCATTGTTCAGAACTAGCGCTAGATCTGTTTTAGTCTTCGCTTCATTGAAAATACGCGAGGACAACCTAACAAAAGACGTAGCCGTTGCCCTGAAGCCCATTCGGACACGGCCAATGGCCGAAGTAACATAATAATAGACTGACTGTAGTCTGGATACCAGACCCAATGATTCTGATTACTCTACGGGTGCACCCTGGTAATTAGGCCAGAAATATGTCCGCCGAGCTCATTAATAAAAGTCATACACTCAAAATATTCTATATTAGAGAGTCCTGAGGGCCATGAAATTGAGGAATTGGAGAAATATGGCACTGAACCCCTGGCCCGGACTCTGGGCTTCAAATTCTGAGTAATTTGGATGCAGTTGGGTCCGAAAATGGCACTATTTGACCATTTTGAAGAGGGATGGTTTTTCAAAATGGCTACTTTTCTGGGCGGGGACATTTTCTTCATTTTAGGGGTGGTNTGATCATCAAAGTCGTATTCCTGTACATTGTCTATGGTCTGCTCACACTTCTTGACCGCAGTCTGTAATGGGCACATTCCTCTGTCCACAGCCCCGGCGTAGCGAAAGCGGGAAGGGTTAGGGCTTAGGGAACGCATCCCTAAAAACAAAGAAATCTCCACCACCACCCCTAGAAATTTCGGAAGCAGAAAAATAGCATTATTGAAAAAGCACTTGGACTTGCGCCCCTCCCTCATAACATCCACCTCCCCTGCTCAGCCCCCCCCCAAGCAAAGTGGCTGTGAGCGCCTTATACGCCGCTGCCTGTTCATGTAACTCTCCGCGGATGTTTACCAGGTTAGACAGACATAAAACTATGTCCAAATATCTGCACCAAATCAACCTTTGGAAGCAAAATTCCACTACACTCCTTCGACGCTGTTAATTGACCGCTGTATTCATAGTGAGGGCGCTATGCAGAATTGCAATTGGTACTGTCAAATAGGTATGCTTCATTCAAGGTTGACTTCGATCCCTCTCCACCATAGAATCAGACTTGATGGCAAGCCGATCACAGAAATGCTTCGGTGTGGCTCTTGTATAAATGTTGCATTGTTCAGAACTAGCGCTAGATCTGTTTTAGTCTTCGCTTCATTGAAAATACGCGAGGACAACCGAACAAAAGACGTAGCCGTTGCCCTGAAGCCCATTCGGACACGGCCGATGGCCGAAGTAACATAATGATAGACCGACTGTAGTCTGGATACCAGCCCCAATGATTCTAATTACTCTACGAATCAAGGGCCCGGTATCACCCGATGTCCCCGTGACCGAGACTGGAGTTTTCCGGAAATTACCGAAATATCCCGAAGTCGTCCCATCCATATTCTGCATGTTCGGATGGTACCGTTGATATTTGGTTCAAGTCCCGGCTGGGTAGGTAAGCTAGCTGTTGAACGTAAACTCCTCGGTAATTTCCCTATAGGAGAATCTAGGAAGAATCAGGACCAGGAACAAAAAAACCCAAACCAATTACCGATATAGTACCAAGTACACACTTCCCCGTAAACAAGCGCAGTCAAGGAAAACCTTTAGAGGCGCGTCTCTGCTGGTTAGATTCGGGCTTTGCTCTGTGACGCAACAGACAATATAATGACATACTTTGTAGCTGTTGGTTTGCTGAAAAAAGAAAACGTGTGTGCTCTTGTTGCAAGATCCGCATGACAACACACTTATAATTTGTTTTCTTTTGGAAGGGAAAGGCCCAACGGCTGCGCCAATAAACAGCGAATACAATCGACTCGTCTGACTGGCTGCTTACGACACAACACTGATTTGGGATAACAAAGAGAAAACTTCTCCCGACTGTTTGACAATAGACCGCCCAAGAAGGGGAGATCGTGTCAGCGCCACCTTTTTGTGTTTGTTGTGGCGAGCAACGGTGCCAACTGAACCTGTGCGGTTCTTAATGGGGACTTATCCGCATGAACCCATAAAAGCGCCCATGCGCAATGCTGCTGCACTGGCACGTGGATTCAACTGAGCATGCGCTAGTCGGCACAAGCCACTTCTCCCTTCTGACAGTGACACTGTGTGATAATGGCTTGTCATTTTCTAGTGGAAAGCACAACAGTGTTGACAGCTGACGGAGGAGGGGATAAAAGCGACTTTTTTAAGCATCGACCACGGCTGTTACCCAGGTAATTAGCCTTTGATGCGGTCATTCAGAAAGATGATGGCACTAATCCGTGCCGGCGAGTGGAAAAGGATCGAACTGCCCAGCCGTGAAAAAATGTAATGAGTACAATTTTCCTCTCATTATACACCGCACTGTATTCTGACGTCATTTTGATGAATAGTAAATAGTGTCGGAGAAAAGGCGATTTTTTTACCCATGGTCTTGCATTTACTGAAAAAATGCACCATTTAAGCTTGCAAGTAGGATTGTTTTATTCTGAGATAAGGGGCATCATTACTGCTGTACTTTTGTATGGGTCTTATTTATTTTATGTTTTGGAGAGTTTAATATGAACTGTTAAGGTAACATTTCCTTGCGATTCGTGTGAACTCGGGAAAGGTTGAAAAAATCGAACTGTTTGACTGTGCGCGAAAATTTGTCTCGGACAGTGACTGAACTGTTGCAGATGAAATTTGCCTAGTCCGATGGTAGCTCCTTTGTTTACTCTGGAGTTCATTTTAGTAAAACTGGTTAACGTAATTGAAACCCATATTTTCTGCGCTTTTATTCTTTTTACCAAAGTAGATTTGCAATAGTTCATAAAACGGATCCATGGGATGTATTACTGCAGTCCTGTTGCAAATCTTGGCTTCTGCACAGACATTCGTTTAAACAAAAACCGGGAGACAAAATTAAATTCAAAAATGAGGCTGTAGTTATAATTCTCTCTCACCCCGATGCATGCGAAGATTGCTCGCAAGTTGCAGTCATGGGGCCCACACTGATTTCCGGTGTGCAGGCGTGGCATACATAGTGTGGACCTCTGCACAAATGAAGTCCACGCGATGTAGGGTGTGATGGCGTTGTGTGGACTTGTATGAGTCCACACAATGTTTTCCCCTCTCCGAAACACGGTTCAGATGCATTGTGGGATCAGGTTTTTTTGTGAAGAGGAACAGTCCAGGAAATCGTTATCAAAAATCCAACTCGAAATAGTTATCGTCGTGAGAGAAAAAGGAGGATTTTGCCAAGTTGTCTTAACAACAGGAGAACAAAAGAATATCCACACTTCGTATGTGAAACAACTCAGCCCCGATGGGTGGGTTTGTGTGGAATTTTTCGCCTTGAGGCTAATCTTAAATAAGATTTATCAATGGAGGTATAGGATTCCGACGTGCAAGCGTGGGCTCTTGTTTTGTGTCATGGTTGTAGCCAGGTTAACGAAGGCAACGCGGTCGCGCACCCTGGCGCTGCCACAGCTCTGGGATGCCTACAGGTTTACCCAGGGAAGTGTCTATCTACTCATCGATGAGCATCATGTCTGCGTAGTTGACTGATGGACCCGTTCCCTTGACACCTCCAATTGTTAAGACTTTAAGTACGTTTACTCAACTAATGCGTGCCGAGTGTGCTCTTCACACCCCTTTGCCATGGGCGGGCCTTCGCATCAAAGGGCGGAACAACATTAAAAAACGCAGAGGCCCGTTTAAGTCAATTTGAACTGGTCATTCTTTAACACAAAAACACCCTTATGACCTGTTTATGGGCCAAGCATCTCTGAAGTGGGCTTTCAAAAAAAGCACTTGCTGTCTGACAGTTTCCATGCCTAGAACTTCTTGTTTATTGTAGTCACTGTGCCAATTTCACACTGGCCCTTAATTAATTGACTTAAACAGAGTGCCACCATTCAAAGGGGGCTTTTCATATTGAGGCATTACTACGGAACGGTTGAAAGCGAAACTTAACCATGCGTAAACAAACACTTTACTTGAGCCAGACACAATTTTGGTATTAACCTACACTTTTTCCAAAACTTGAAACAGGACACTACATGCTTTGCTGTTTACCATCATATTCGTGCTTCGTCCGTTTTCTGAAGCCTGAGGGTGGTACTGTTTTGGGTGCCAGTTAAAGAAGTCGGTATTTTTGTGCAAATAATGGGGATTTCGTTTTTCATCTGACCTTAAAAACGTCACGGAAAAGCTTGTTGACTAACAGCCTCCCGCTGGCACCAGCTGCGCTCTACGAACAAAGAACATGACAGCCTTTTGTAGTCTAGAAGAAGTGGCACTGAAGTTAACGTAAAATTTGGACTCGACATACCACTACGTCAAGTAAATAGTTTCCTTTGGATAGACCCGTGCAGCGGCACACTCGCCGGTTTTCCTAAAATGACGTGATTTCGCCGTCTGGTAATGTCAAGTCACAAGTCGTTATAATTCAGAGGATCATATTGAAGGCGTGTACACCACACTGCGCGCAAACACCGTGGCATTACTGTGATAAGATGGACATACAGGGTACATCTTAGTGCTTAGTGCTCCGGGCTACAGCAACTTGATGGGAGCGTACATTGACTAAAGGGTCATGGGTCGTGAAGCACCCTCAAGACGATTTATTTTTTCTTGTATAATCTTTTGACGCGGGCAAATCTGAATTCCTAACATTTAGTTTTTACCTTAGCGAGTTTAGATACAGGTCGGTTCGCCGATGTGACCGCTAACACCGGCAAGATGTTATCTTACACTTTGGAAGAACATTGGGCATGGCAGAATACATCAAGGGAGGACCAAAATCTGGAAATGACATCAGCCAGACAGAAATTTTTTTCGGGAATGTGTGTATGTGCGTGGGGTTGTTACAAATTCGTGATGAATCACGGTGTCGTCGGGGTTCATTTCGTCAAAAAGTGCAACCTTCGAACGAGATACTTCGAACTGTGGGCAATGCTATTCAAAACGTATTCAAACTCAAGGAAAAAGAAAAGTTCTTTATAAAAAATTGGCACGCAAGTCTAATGGAAATTGATGGCTCGACTGTGGTTTTTTCAGCCTGTATTGTTCACCGCTTACTCCGGTTCGTGATGCTAGATGTGGGCGGCATTTATTGTCTGCCGACCCAAGTATTAACAGGATTATGGGTTTAGCAAACTTCTTTTGACTTCCTAAACTTTGTGGCGTTCTTTAGACGAGAAAAGGATATGGCAATGCCCGTAGCGTTATGTTTACTCGCCTTAGGTGGGTATCAACCCGTGACTTTGAAAGGGGAACAAACAGGATTTCCGTTCATAGATTGAGCTCATTTGTTGGTAGCATGTAATAATTGTAACCCAGCAAGACCCCAGGCAAAGAAAAAAACTCCCCAAAGCGTTGGTTCTAAGTAGGAATAAAGATAGGGAACATTGAATAGGGAGAGTGGTGATCATGGCGAAAAACCAAAACGCCGCTTTATAATGGTGATAAGTTTGAGAATGGTGTAGTAGGCAGCAATATGCACCCTCGACGGATTGCATAAAATAAAATCGATTACAGGAACATGAGTCCTGTGTCGAGTGTTGACAGAAAGTTCGCAAATTTACAGTATTACGGGCACGTCGCACGAACCACAACACGGCAGAGCGTTGTAGGCGACAAGTTTTGACCACCGATGGTCAACAGTTCCCGCGATTACTTTAATGCCGCGGCAGTTTGGTTACTGAAACGTGCCGGAGATAAGCAAATGGGGATTTTAGATACACAGAATTTGGAGGGAGGAAGGGCTGGGTCAATGTCATAAGGAAAGCCGTTATTTCTTTCCTTCTAGACCCAGACCAAAATGCAGTAGACGTATTATATGGCTTTGCTTCGTAGCAGTCTTGTAGCAGGCCAGCAGTTTTTCCACAAGGAAACCTCCTGGACACTGGCCTGCAAGATGGCAGCCATGCTCACACCGTCATTATGCAATCGGTTACACCTTTTAGAGGATTGAGGCCACTCTAAGGAGAGACGGTCGGAAGAATTTTGAGGATGTGGATAGCTGATTTTCGTATAGTTATATTGGCATGGTGAAATATCGGTGATCTGCTCAATGCCTGTGTGACTTTTGAGTCAAGGCGAATATGGTCGCCAGAGTATCGCAGGTTGCTGTTAAAGTAACTTCATTCTCGATAGCGACAACTCATAGTGCTCTTGGAGATCGACTAAGATGCCAGCTCCTCTGAGCCGATCTTCGGTAACGCTGATCCTTCAATTCAAATTATTTTCCCGATAGGGAGATTATGTTTTTGTCTTCCCGACTTAGGCGAGATTGAAGTCCGGTATTGAAAGCAGTATTTATGCTGTTTAGGCTCAGAGAGTTGGATTTGGCCCGAAAATCCGATTCCAACCATCGATTTTCTTGACAAATACAATACATAATCAAAAATCTGCTGGATGCATAAGTAACTATGCTGGCAGAACTCAGTAGGATAAGCCAAAGTCTGCACTACCGGTACAACAAGAGCTTTTTTTCTTCTCCAATATCTCATCTAAAAGAAGCCACGAAAGCTCATGCTAATTGGACTTTACTCCGTTTTGTAATTGCTGTCTGTAGTTTAATTTGTATATAAGTCATAATTAGCCACAGATTTGCAAATATATGTTATAACGGATAGGTCCGTTTCAAATTGCTTGCTAAAATTGTAGCCTCGACTCGAGGTCCCTTGCCAAAACTGGCTGTACGCGAGGTGCCCAGGCACCTAGGCACGTGCACGGACACCGCGGTACGAGTATTTTTGTCACCGTATCGAATTGCATGTTACGTCATTTTCTTCTTCCATGCTCCTAAGTCATAGCTGCTCGCCTACGGTGTCCTTGAAATGAAGAAAGGCTCTCTTAGAAGAAAATGATCTTTTCTTTAGCAACACTGGGTGCTGGGTTAAAATTTATGGAAGATCCAGGGGCTGAAGTTTTTTTTTATCGAGGCCAGCTTTCGTTTTCTTTCTTCCCACTTCGGCCATCAGATTGGCCAATAACAATCAGTTTGCATTTAGCTGTAATTGACTGATTAATCGATAACGATGGATATTTCATAACCTTTCTTAGGACAGGTAACGAACAACGGGAATAATAGCCAATAAGGTGATATGGTGGCTGACTATCCGTCTCACAGTAAACCATCTTACGTAATGAGTCTTCCCCAATCCGAAAACAATCCGAACGTAGGAAGAGTAGAACAGACAAGAGGGCGTGGGAGACTTTGAGTGGTAGGGTATAGTCGACGGCAAGGCTTGGGCTTAAGACTTTCCTCACGGTATAGCCAAAGGTTTGAGCCGCACTGGCGCGAGGCCATGACACCAGGTATCCCTAGAAGTGTAGAGAACACAGCGCTACGGTTTTGTGCACATTCAGGTGAAAATTGGTGGTGTTAACTCCGCGCACGCGCACGAAACAACTTAGCTCAGTCTTTTCCCCTTCTTATTACAAAATGAAAACAACTGAAAACAGCACAGTTAAACAGATACAAACAAAACTATAGACATACGGGTGTTGGCATGCGTGTGCCAAAGACCAAACTTTTTCTCTTGACCCTTGACCGTCTTTCCCGGCGTGAATAAACAGAAATGCAGGTTATTTAATTTACTGATTCTATGGTCGTTGAGGTCAGCGAGAAGTGTGACGTTGCCCAACCCGTCGAATTATTCTTAATAGTTGTTATTATTGAAGAAAAATAGTAACTTGCCCATCCCGTGAAGCCCATACTTTCTTTTTTTGCAATCCCCAAGGGAGGAATTAAAAAGTCCTTCAAAGTCTTTAGACTTTTTTTCCAGATAGTCCTTGTGATTTGTTTTGCCATTCCACCGCTGATTTGTCTATCTTCAAGGCGAGACCAAATCCCCAGAATTACAAAAGGGACCGACTAAATTAAACCCCAACCATTTTTGAGGGAGGGTCCCTGTTCAAAGGAGAGGTAGCCGCACTTGTGGAGAATAGAAGAGTGACCTCGGGCTGTATCGGTCTCAAACAGATAATTATGCCCCCCGCTCTCCCCGTTGACCCAAGATGGTGTAGATCGATGTCACTGCAGTGCACTCAGGTAAATAAAGTCCAGTAGACACCAGTTATAAATTCCTTTACTTCAAACATATTTTTAGAATACAATTTTCACAGGTGTTCACAGGCTGCACAGAAAAACGATGATCAATATGTCGTCTTTCAATTTCTTTTCAATTTTTGGTGGGTTGGCCAATGACTTTTTGAGAAATTCTCACCCAAAACAGACTACCCGTAAAGCAAAGGATACTTCCCTGACTGGGAAAAGTAGTCATTTTGAAAGAAAAAACGTCCCTTTGCAAAACGGCTACACAGTGCCACTTTTGGACACGATTGCGTCCAACTTTGCTCAAAAATGGAAGCCCTCGTTCCAGGCCTTTGGTTCAGCGCCACAGTTCTCCAATGCCTTGGCTCTCAGAACTCTCTGAGCTCAGTTCAGGCGCGCAGACCTTCTTCGCGGGGAAGCCACTCTTTATCTTGTTCCTTGACCCTTTCGTATTCGATGTAATCTGTGAAATGGGGACATGCCAGACCATTTGGGTTCCAAATCTCACTCCCAGTTGTTTTTTAAATGTGGCTTAGGGTCTATTTAGAAATAAATCATGACAAATTTTAAATTATTCCAGACAAAGCCTGGAATGAATTCATATGAACTTTTATTCCGTCGTTGGTATTTTACTCTCAGGTTTCCAGAATGGAAATTTCACCTCACTTTCAATTCAACATGCGAGACATGAATTCAGTCTATTGCCGTGGCTTTTTAACGGCGAGAAAACAGTCTGGGGTCACGACAGTACGTGGGAAATAGGTGTCGCCCGAGTCAAAGCAAAACACTGCTCCTCTTCACGTGGTACAGAACACAATCTGCACACGGACAAGTGATTCAGATTAATCTCATTTGTTCGGTCAGTGAATAAAGTTAGTTGTGGCTTATCGAATGTGCACCCATTCCGCTCCCCTTTCCCCTTTGAAATAACATTGAAACTAAAGGCCGCGTCGATAATGCCCTTTGTGCGTGCACCTAGCCATATAATTCTCACAGCAGCCGAAACTAGATTATTCTTTCTGCTTTGACTTCCATTGTACGGAGTCTCAATAAGTTCTGCCTGATTTCTTGAATCTATTCAAGGACGTGTGATACAAGTAGATAGTGGTCCTTTGTGGGACGTTGGCTCGGCCCTTTGTGCGTGTAAAGGTACTCTGTCGGCCCAAAACTCTATCTTCTTATTTATTTTTCTTGGAGATCGGTTTATTTCACTTTTTTTTACAGAAGCTGTTGCAGCGTTAATGACTCGAAGCAGAGGTGCAGTCGGTCCAGAAACAAGCGGCTGAAAGCTGGCTGACAGGAGGTTCTTCGCATGGTACTTCGGCACCCGACCGTCCAGCCTGTCGTCTTATTAAATATTCAGTTCATCGCCAGTTGAGGGGTAAGTTGATAATTATCGGTAAGTGGTACCACCTTGGTCATGTGTTCTGAAGCCAACATGATGTCACTGCCTGGTCCAAAGATTTCAGTCTGCTTTCCATAGAAGCCTATGCTTGTAGCGACACTGAGATAGCTCACAATTATGTCCAAACGAAGGTCTTTAGGGGTACCCTGAAACTTCTGACATGAACTTGCCCATGGACAGTTTTTGCAAACGTGTAGGATTCTTTTACTCTCAAATTTCGTTTCATGCTGAATATTCATCTTTTTTTTCGGCATATCACATGAAGCAAACTCCTGTGGTGTCTGTCGATAAATTTTGCCCCGGGAATGATGCTTCACAACACCACCTTTGAGTTAGTACTTCTCAAAACTCTGTCCAGTTCATTCCAACATAACGTTGAGGTCTTTTTATAACTCTCGTCTGCCAAATACACCGTAGAATTTCCAGTATGTAAATGACGCAGTGTTGTTTTTATCGTTGAACCTCGTTCTTCCATAATATTTGAATTTAGACCTAAAAAGTAGAGACGATTATTTTGCAACATACATTTGACCAAAGTGTTAGCAACTTCGTTACATAGTCTTGTCCTTTTCAGTGTTAGGAGGTTCACCTGTGCCAACTTGTGATGCTGCGTTATCGACAAAAAAAATGGACCCGAAAATATGTGTCATTAGAAGCCCTGGAATATCGGGGTACAACCTTACTGTGTCCTGCCTGACGTCTTACCACATGACGTTTAGGGGCCATCGTTGGAAAGGCATTCCTCGAAAAATTAATGTGACTAAGGGTGTTAGCCCACATGTATGTTAACAGTGTGGTACATGTCAGCCCACGTATCACTTTACTCACAGACATGCTTTTACCATTAACTGTGTTTATACATAGTCTGTACAGATCAGGAAGGTAGTGTTCATTTCTCACGATCTCTTTCTAATGGCTTCCTTCTGGGTGACTGACAACCCATAATGGTGAATGGAAACTTTGTGGTTCACGTCACAAATTGAAGGCTGGGCCTAGTTTACCAATGAATTGTTAGAACCTGGGTAATCCTTGCCCTTGCTGGTTGTAGCTGAAAGAGGGAAAAACTTATTAATAAACCTCTTCCTCCTTAAAACTCATTTCCATGAAACGCAAGTTTCAATACAATAAGAGTCGTCGTTAATATTCGAGTTGACTGTCAGAAACTCTGACCCTTATGGTGACCTTTACAAATAGCCAAGTGACGCCTCAATATTCTTGTGTCTCGCGGTTGCAGCTTCATAATGCCACTGTCACGGTGTTTGTATTAAATGGGGTAAACATGCATTTAAGACTATTGACCGATTTCGCTATACCAACATCGGGTTTTTTTTTCAACAAGAGATGAATCGTGCTGAGTAATACAGATTTGAAGATAAGAGTGGAATGGAAGAATCACCAGGTATGCCTGTCGTTTCCAACATGGCGCCTACCTGCGCGACACTATATAGCGCCATTCGGGCATTGCTGGTGTCTAATTGCCGTTCACAAAACTGTGGGAAAGTCACACAGATGGGGCTTATGTATAGGCAAACTAGAGCCTATTATATCACAAATACCGGGTCGTGCGAAAACAACGCATCCTTTCCAGTTCTCTGCAAAACCAACATGCCTAAATCAAACAAGGGATGAATACGAATGAAAGTTTAATCTTCCACCCTGCTCATGTGACCTCTGATAGTCTCCCACCTTCTAGTCTGGGCGGTGACGTACGTAAGCAAAACACGTCTGCTATGAGTCACTGTGCACGCGGCGCTGCATTAAATACAAACTTTCACAAGCCAAAGTTAAATATTTACCGACTCTAGAGCTCGTTTCACGTCTTAATTGATCAATCAATAGACCCAAACCAAACAAGTGAGATCATCATTGTCTAGCATTATGTTTGAACAGCAACTGTTATGCATAAGACGTATGATAGGACACTGCGGATAAGTCGTGTCAGTTTGAAGCCTCGGAGGATATAAACTGAGTATTACTTCTGGTGCATTATAAGCCGCCTATAGCTACCAGCTTTTATACTGTAATTGGCAAACTTGGGATCATTCCGCCAAAAGGAATTGTTAACTTAGTGGTTACTTTCTGATGATTAATCGCCCTGGGATGAGTGGTGTGACGAACTGAACTCGAAAGCTGGCCGCATTGGAGCAAAGAGAGTGAAGAGCCCATCTTCATTGGTTGCCTTGTACGCATGGGCAGTGAGGGAAAGTACTCGCACGTGGTCTGAGGCCGAACTCGCAAATAAGCGCTGGCGCTTTGAAAGCGTTAATCACTGTATGTACGAGCGTGTAACTATTCAATTCAAATGGCTCGATGTCAGGTCGTTGTGACTATGATTTGCCGGCCAGTTGCTACAGTAGTTTATTCACCTGAATGTCATCGCAAGTTGGAGGCAGCGATCAGATCAAGTGAAGAACATTCGTGATCGCCCAGTCTTAACTTTGGACATCTTTTCCACATACACTGTTCGAGTACTCCCCGAAGGGTTTAGGGGATTTCTGTACGTCAGTAGAAGTAGTGTCAAAGTGAATACCTCACATGCCTATTATGTGTGTAAAAGACATGACGCACGAGAATCTGCGCGGGAACCATTGCAACACGCTTGAAGAATACAACGCTGGGAAAAGTCCCCAAAATAATTTGGTCATGAGTGTAGCCTTTCCAAACTAAATTTTTATTTCTAAAAGGGGGACGCACTGGATTCATCTAATCTCTAATGATGTCAAACTAATTTGTAGAAGTTGAAATCTGCATTTTGAATTTCTGTTTTCAGTGTTACTGAGAAAGGTCCTCTGTTTTTTGTCCCCCGTCTCTTTTGCGACGTCTGGACTGACACTAATGATGAAATAAATCCTGACCCGACTTCCTGTCAAATCGTCCGCAATGAAATATCATCCTGTTGGTACTTTTCTTCAGGCTGGAACCTTCATGCATCTCTGAAATCGGAGATATTGACTGGGTGTCGGCCGAGAGCTTTGCGGAAGAGATGAGCAGACGACAGGTATTTGTTGGGCTTGTCGATGTCAGCTTTTGCTTGTCGGTTCTTCTCCTTTATCATGCCGGCGGTTGGGCGCAAGCGTCGCACGGATCCGAACTTGGCGAAGAGTTCCGTGCGCGAGGCAGGATCTGCCTGGACGTGGATCTACAGGGGGAGTTCGAGCGGACGGTGCGTGCAGTCAGGGGGGTCCTGGATCTGTCGGACCGCCACCACCAGCAGAGGGTCAACCGCACCATCTACAAGGGCCTGCTTAATCACGTGATCGGCCAGGCCATCCACTATCCGGCCCAGATCCGGGGGGAGCTTCCTGAGGCGGATGAACGGGCGGTCCAGGAGCTGGAGGAGGCTGGCTTCGTGGCCCTGGCCAGCCTGGCCAAGGGAGACTACTTTGCCGACGTCGACGCCGTTTCTCTCGCGGAGCCGGTCCCCAAGGGAAGCGTCGGGCAGGATCCCGACGCCGACCGCCACTTGAAGAATGGTGGGCCGTCGTTGGTGTCAACACAAGCCAACTATTCTCCTCATGTTGAGGACAACAAACACTCAGGGACTCCCCTTGCCGATTCTTGCCAAACTTCAACTTGTGCACAGAGTGGCAACTACCACCAAGCAACTCAAACGAATCTCCACTTGAGAAAACCAAGTCACTCGGGTACATCCCCTGCAGGGTCAGGTCTGTTGCAAAGCTCTTTATCAAACGATCCCACTGTGCACGCAACACCTCACAAAGATCCAGTTCTCTCAAAATCAGAAAGTGTTTTCAACTCACCGCCCAGTGACGCTCCCAGTTTAGAATTCAGCAAACCAAAGAGAGAAGGGGGGTCTCGGAAACATAGACAATCTCCCACCACTCACTGGGACAGCCTCGGCCGATTGGTCAGCATGGAAGGAGTTCCTGTCATCGAGGATGACTTGTACTGGTCTGCTGAAATTGACACTGCAACACCAAAAGGTGGGTCAGGTCTCCATCTACTATTAAATAAAATCAACTCTTAGAGTTAATCTGTTCAAATTCTCTTTTAAAAAAAGTGACCAACTTCAAACACCATTTTCTCGAAAGTTTACTTTTGGTAAGAATGGAGGAATTCGTCTTTTCGTAAAAACCGTGTTCCCGCTGCGAAACACGAAGTATCTGCAATCGCAGACACATCAGCTCCATTTTAGTCGGGCGTCCAGTCGTAGGCTGCATCAGAATCACGTGGCTACGGCTAACAATAACTGATACATGTGTTGGGAACAGCTTTAGCCGTTTGCTTACAGCTTCTCTGGTGCACACTTCAGACCGTAGCCAGTGAGTCTGGACGGGACTCAGGACATTGCATATTCTCTGGTGTGATTCAATGGGCGCCCAGGCAGTGTGCCCATGCATGCCACTTGTTCTGCACTTCTGGCCAACACTGAATCTTATGCAATCTCCAACAACACTAAGAGTAAAAAACAATGGAAGTTTCATCGCTTATGAATGACTGTTGTATCGGTTATTCTCTATCCCAGGATTTAGTCAACGGGAGCTGGACGAGTGGAAGGACCGAATATCGAAACAAACGGTCCGATCTTTTGAACCGGGCGGTCTCGAGAAGTGCGGGCGGGAGAAGAATCGATTCATCGTGCTGGAGGACGGCTCAAAACTGTGCGCTCGGTATCGATACCCGTTACTCACTAGCATGACAGGTTGGTGCATTTCAAAGCTTAGACAATTGACTGTGTTCACAAAAAGACCTGGACGAGGTTGTTTCCTAAACTTCACCATGATACTAATTTCTGTGAAGGCAAAACCCTGTCTTGATTTGAACACCTTTCACTCAACCTTAATCTTTTCTTTTCCCAAAAAGTTGAAAAACTTACCGACTGATATGAAAGGCTCCTTTGTCATTCACTAACCTGAACACATGTACTTTTAAAGTTAAACTAAACAAGCCTTTCTGTAAACATCTAACACTCTTTACTTTTCGAATCTGTCGGATGCCATGGATTTGTCGCATACTAGTTTAGATTTCCTTTATTGATTAACCCCATGGATTGTTTACCATCGGTAAAACTGCCTCTTCATTTCACGTTGCTGTTTCATTCTCTCTTCTCTTCCCATCAATTGTCTCTTAATCTAGTTTTGCAAGAGAGGTTCACAAGCCCAACGCACCCTGTTGGTCCCACATTCACCCTCAATATCTTCCAATCTCGGGCGACAGGGCCATCCCTTTCCCAACACTTCAAATTCAATGTGAGCAGTTGTATGATCAGATTGATAAGGGTGCAGACAGTGTTCGTGGCATTCCTTGGGAACACATTCGGGAAGGATCAATACCCCCAAAAGTAACATTAAATTAGTGGAAATTGACGCGCCAGAGTTTTTATGTAAGACTTTGTGTTCTCTAGAGCTACACATATATTATAGAGAGAGAGTACTAGCACCAGCTTCAGTCTTCAGACTTCGTCGCAATTCTGAGTCTTCTAACTCAGGGCGCCCTCTTGGGAGTTAAGGGGCAAATAAATGGTGGACCTCTTATTATAAGCACCTTTTTCACTGCTCTGACTTGTTGGAACCAAGGCAAAGGCGGTTAGCATTGAACTGTATCAGTGCATTTACTGGGGACACAGTCTTCCAAACCTGACCACCAACGGAGGTCGGGCTGGTAAGGGAAGACAAAGTATTTCAAAACGACAAGGTCATTCGAGAACATAGCGCCTGACGTCAGGCAAGTTCCACGGCTTGAACAGCGTTCACGGCCCGTGAGTGGGCGTTGGCCTATGGCCGGCTGTACTGACGATTGGGTCGACCTTGCGCGCGATTATGATATTCTCGTGTGACCTACGACAAATTTCATTTTAAGCCAGCGCTGTCTGGATCAAGAACTCACACACTGTAGGCATTTTTGCATGTGGGAACGGAAAACAGATTTTCGCCCAACCGTTGGAAATACTTGTGGAAATGGAGGGGTCCTTTGATGGATACGAGAGGATATGTATTTTAGAATTCCATGACTAAAAATGGTCATGGTTCCTGTGTGAGAGAGCGATTTGGGGGTCTCAGAAGCATCATAAATGTAGTAAAATTGACTTTCTCGATGACCTTTTTCACGTTTCATTGACGGGGGTTATTCCATTTCTAATTTCGTTACTTGTGCTACCTCACTGCAAGCATCGAGTAACTTTTCCCGCCTGTCAACCGTGTGACTCAAGTGGGTCATTATTTTACAAAATGTATTTCTCTTTATGTTGATCACCCAAATCACAAAGCACTGGCAGGAAACAATCGCCATGGAATCCTTGTATATATGAGAGAGGTGAAATGTATTTTTTCGTTGTAAATTCATGAATATGGACTGGAGCACCGAAGCAAACCCAACTTGATATCTGTCATTTGCATGTTCCAAACTTTTGCACACGCGTGTTAGTTCGATGTAGTCTGGCGGTGTTTTGTACCAGACACCTGGGTACTGAAACAAGTGTCAGTTTTAACACAAAGCCAAGCGCCTATATTTCACGCGTTGAGCAAAACTTTTGAACATGGGAAGGATTGGATTTTAAGGTGAAAGAACAGGCAGTCATGGGGCGCATTGCTCGACAGCAAGTAAAGCAGGTTGCAAAGCCCACAGAGGGTTAAACGTAGCTGATTTTGTTCGGTCTGCATTTAGTAGGATCGCTATTTCTCATGTTGAAATGTATTCCTATACTCATTGAAAAAAACCAAAGACAAGTTCAAATAGAGCACAAATGGACATTACAAATCACATACATCACACATGCAACAGAAATTGAAGTTTTAAGGGGAAATCGTTTTTACAGTTTCTTTGCTGCTTATTTCCCCTTCAAGTTGATTTCTAACTTTCCTCCTATCTGACCAGGTGAGCTTTACAGCTATCACCTTGCGCGCATGCTCGGTCTGACCAATTTGCCGCCATTACACCTATCGGTAGCTGCCACCAACAGCAGTTTCTGGCGAGGTCAGGGGTCAAACTTCCAAGACGCTGGATGGCAGGACGGGAAGGTTGTGATGTTAACCAAGTGGATTGAGGGCCTTGAGAAGTAAGTTCAATCGATAAAAATCTCACCGGAACGTTGTACAGCCCTATCCGAATTACTTTGGCTGCGGCTTGAGATTTATAAACATGGGTCTATGCGGCCGCAGCATCTACCCAGTGCGTCGACATTGCCGTTAGCCGTAGACAAGTGAAGTGGACGCGACCTAACAACTGGTGTCAATAGAAGTTATACAGCACTGGTGAACTTGTCACATATGCCGTGTCCGAAACGGGCTTCCAGAGCTACGGCTAGGTCTATTGTCTGCGCGTCTCCACGCATTTCCATTGGAGCGAGGATCTAGACCTAGCTCTAGACAATAGATTTGGATGCAGTCATCGCTTCAGTTGAAGGTTGACACGGTCTACTGAAATTCAAGCCTTTACAAGCGCACGGCAGTTTAGCTCACAGTTTACGGGGCGGAGTGGGGAACGAGCAACAGTCTAGTAGCCATCTTGCTTGTAGTTCTTGACAATGTTGCCATAGCGAGGCTGCTGACGTCAAGAGGATGTCAGGAAAACTTTGGGAACTGTGAGCATACAGCGCCCAAATATGTTCGTTCTTATCCCCTCATTTCATGACTGTTAATGATGTCTCACTGTCATTCCAAATATGGATTGTTTTCATTGCAGGGCTTTTCTGCCAGAAACACTCGTTCAGGGACCACTTTCAGCAGGGGCTCTAGAAAATGGATGGAGGAATCTGACCATCGGAGAGCTGAGCTCTCTTGTCCAGTGGAGTGACCTTCTGGTGTTTGACTACTTGATCGCTCACTTTGACAGGTGAGAAGGTTACGTGCTTCTTAATTGATGTATAGCTTGTGTGCAAAATGTGGGCCTATTTGCGATCGAGGCTACGGGTCCCTGTCTTGCAGTCAGTGAAAAAAGAGTAAATGCGGAAGTTACCTTTACGTAAGAATGAAATCTGCTTCATGATTTGGCCGACTACACAGAATGTGAAATCAAAATAATAATTTCATTAGCTGAAGACTTTCTTATTTTACAAACAGGCTTACCATAAACCTTTCTGGTGTCAAACACTACAATGACAGCGCTATTATGCGATCAGAGGTCCACAATCTAGTTCAGCATCCACACACCAAACAACTGTGGATTGTGGACAACGAGAGCGGTCTGCTAGACGGCTACTCCTTCCTGCTGTCCGAGGGCAACCCCAACAGGCTCCTGCAGGGTGAGCTTCACGAGCAGCTCCTGGAGATGACCTGCGTCTTCCGCCGCTCCACGGCGGAGGCCGTGCGCTCGCTGCTGGCCCAGCCGGACCCGGCGCGCCTCCTGACGGCCCGGGTGCTGGAGCAGGACCCGGTGAGCAGGGGACTGTTCCCGGAGCTCGACCGGATCCCCCGGCACGCGGCCGTGCTGAGGGAGAGACTGGAGAGGCTTCAGGGTTGGTTCGAGGAATGCCGGCAGAGGAATGTCGCTGCGCGGGAAAACTCGAGCTTCTAAGTTAAAGTTGTCCTTAAGCATACATCGAATGCTTAAGGAGGATCGAGACGTCACTTCTCGGGTAAAACACTTGGTGTGCAAGTTGGCTAAACTCACACTTTCTCTACCTATGGTCACACATGATGTCATAATACATGTAATATGACAAGGTGCGTGGTGCCATCTCGGTAATGGCGTCTTACTCTTTTCACTGATCGAGAAGCAAAGCTCTTTTCTCTCTCCTCCGAGCATAATTCTGGTCACATTTAAGCAGGCGATTGCTACATCCAGATCCATCATGTCAGCGTATGTATGCATTGTAGTAGAACTGCAGCCATTTAACGAAGCAGCAAAACAAAACTGATACATTGACATGTCAGTAGGACCAAAGGAATACCTGTATGCTACGTGAGAAATATTGGTGACCAACCAGAAGGATCTGTGTATGGTACTGTCGATTTGAAATTGACTGGCACTTCAGTTATTTTAATGCGCATTCTAGCCAAGAGTTGAAACCAGCACTGCAGCTGTAGTGTCTGACATACAAGTAGGTTTTTGTTACAAATAATAGCAACTCTTTAATTATTAGAAAATGTAAGCGACGACCAGTAGGGGTCTAGCAAGGACTTTTTTGACAGTCGAGTCGAATGGGACTGTTTCTTTTTGGAAATGCCTTTATTTTGGCCCCATGGGCTGACCATACAAGTAGTGATATTCATCATTATTAGATTTCATTGTTTTAGTGGAATCCAGATTTTAGATTTATCATAGATCAGTGTCACACACAGTTCTATAAACAGCTCAAGTAAGCACTTTAAAGGGAGATGTTTTATAAATTTTGCCCCGTTGACCACTTTATTTTCCATCCCATGTCATGTCCATTTTCAAAGAGACGTATTGCTGCAGTATCTTGGACAAGAATAAAAATATTCTTAGTTGACGTTTCTGTGGAGGTTTTCCTGCGTTGTATTCTAACATTTCCCTGAAATGAATCGGTACTCAAGACAGTGTGTACCCCTGCACCGACGACGGAGAAAGACGACTGGGCTGGTTAGCCTCACTGAAGCTATACTAGGCCAAGTCAAGGCCAAAATGTAACATACCCGCCTGGCTCATCGCGAATGTTTCCAACTTGTTTTTCTGGCAAACGAAAATTTAAGTGTACCGGGACCATTAAGGGCTCATTCACAAAATACAGCAGCAGTATCAAACGATTCAGAGGGAAAAACCACTCTGACTTAAGATCGGTATCCGCCTTGAGCAGAAGCACCCCCTCATCGGTTGAAGAGAGCCATGTCGGTTGAGAGTGTCCATTTTGTTGGTAGCGACGCGACCTAACGCGTGCATGTTATATTAATACGAGAACCAACAAAGAGCAGCTCCAACCAACGGATCCTCTGGGTGCACCCCTACAAGTAAATTCCCATAGACAGCAGTGATAAATCCCCATACTTGAACTGTCACGTGTTCAGGCTGCACAGAAAAATGATGTTCCACAGGTCCTCTTTCATTTTTCTTTCAATTTTTAATTGGTTGAACAGTGACTTTTTGAGAAATTCTCACCCAAAGCAGACCACCCCTAAAATGAAGGAAAGTTCACTGCCGGAGAAAGAAGCCATTTTGAACCCCCCCCCCTCTGCAAAATGGCTCAAATAGTACCACTTTCGGACCCGATTGCATCCAAATTGCTCAGAATTGGAAACCCTGAGTCCGGCCCACAGGTTCAGTGTCATATTTCTTCAATTCCCCACTTCCGTGGCTCTCAGGACCCTCTAATATAGAATATTTTGCGTGTATAACTTTTATTAATGAGCTCGGCGGACATATTTCTGGCCTAAATACAAGGCTGCACCCGTCCGTTGCAAGGAAAATTGCGCCCTCTCTTGGTCCAGCTCCAGACTAACACTGTAGTTTGACAACTGAACCGCTTCCAGAACTCGAGTGAATATCGATGTATTGCAGTGAAGAAATTTGATTCGAATGTCTCTAATTTCAGTCAGAGAGAGTGAATATTTGGTCGAACGGGGTATAAATCTTGACGCTGGAATTTGGAGAGTGCCGGTCCACAGGACTGAATCTTGTCTAGAAGCACGTGGTATAAAATTAATGAAACGCGCTCAAACCATCATCCATTTGATGAAGAAAGATAAAATACGGAGCAAAGTGACTTAATTAGTTCGTAAGGTTTTACTGGTGGTTATTTTAATCAAACATATATATAAATATATCAGTTTCTTAAATTCGCAGATGATAGAACCAGTCATTTTTGGTCAACTTAAAATTAGTGTGCTTTTGAACCGGCACGAGAAACATTGTGCTGATCAGTTTCCATCCACTGATTTTCCATGTGCGTAGAAGAATGCCGTTACAAAATGGCCTCCAGCTTCAGTTTTGGGGAACATTCCCAGGCACATTCAATTGATCACTAATTAGCTTTCCGTTTCTGTGTGCATAGAACGCCAGGAACGAGAGCAAAATCCCAACGAGACTTTTCCTATACGGACGCGACGCCTTTCACCCTGCGTAAACCCGTGTGAACTTGGCCTTACGTTTCAGTACCCGTTACTTGAACTTGGTGGGTAAACTGGCACTTGAAACGGGTGGGTCGTCCGTTTCCACATCCAGCCTGAGGAAAATCTTCGAGAACACATTCCGTTAGCACAATGTCATTGACTTAAACAGGTGCTTACGTCATCATGCTCATTTACAACAAGGCAAAAATGGAAGTCTGCGTGGCCCGTTTGCTATTGTTCAACAAGGACGGAATTTCACAATTTCAACAGAGGCAGTATTTTACTAATTGAAGTTAGTCGACCTGTTATTTCCGTGTGTGGCTGCGGTGATAATGCACTCCGAAATGAATGAAATCTTACCCGCAGCCGGCGGCGGTTCGAGTCAGGGGTCACAGAGGGGAAATTTCCCTATGCTTCCTGTAAACCCATTGTGCTGCCGACTTTTCCAGGAGGCGGTGCACTTTTAATAGCTTGAAACGAAACTGCGGTCAGAAATATTAAAGGAACAAGGAAATAGAAACATTTTTATAAATTTTACTAAAAGTGCACAGAAACTGTCTAGATTTTTTAACCACTGCTATGGCAGATTTTATTTTCTTTGGCAGTTTATTGCTGTGTAAGTATATGGCAATAATCCAGAAAAAGTCACAGAAATGTTCCCAGATAGCAAATTTGGGATTCACAATCTGAACATGAAAACATGCAACCTGAACCATGTCTTCCTGGATTTACATCAAAGCAAAAGTGCCCTCACTTGTCCAGAAATGCTTGGTCAATTTTTGATGTTTGAAAAAGTGCACCGTTCAGTTCACGAAACTCAAAAAGGATGTCAAACAGTCTTCATACATGGAAGAAGAGTACAGAGATACACAAAAAGTGATTCATTTCCTTGTTCCTCTAGTAATGTTGTCGCTCGTTTAGATTCCCTAGTCAGTGTTACTGTATGTAATGATTCAGGATATGCCAGCAGACGTACGTGTGCCGATATCTACGCATATATAAAATGATGGCCATAGGAAAAGATCCCGTCACCAAAAGCACAAAATTTTCTTGGCACCCGGCGTCGTCGAACTACGATCAGACTGACTCCCTCTCTTCACATTGTGGAGTGTCTTCTCTTATGAACTCATTTTCATGGACTTTTTTGGCAAAAGTTTGGCGACATTTATCTATTGTAATAATGACGTTCAATGAAGAAACAAAACAAAACGCAAATATTCATTTCTGGAAATTTCTTTCACGAAGATGACATGTGTCACGATCGTCACTCTTTTGCCAAAGAATGTGAAAAAAATGTTCTCTGATGCCCTCACAATGGTACAATGTAGTTCGAATTTAGAAAGAGTGATGGAAACTGGGAAAAGCCAATAAATCAAGTTTGCGCACCGTTTAATTTGCCCAAAGATCCCACTATTCTAACTATATGTAACAATTAATTAACGCATACAAATTTGCTTCAGAACCTTAAAATGCATCTTGAATAAAGAAGTTACCTGTAGGACATTTTAGCAAACGAACATTGGATTTCATAAATTACACACTACATTCTATTTTTAATTCATATCATGAATTTTTATACTTTGATATTCGACAATATCCATCATATCAATGCTCTGAAAAAGTTCAGGATTTAAACAGTTTAGAAATTGATAGCAAGAAAGAATGTACAAAGGTATATAAAAACTATACACAGTTTGTTGTGCATGTACATAGTTCTTAGAGCAGGGAAATACTTGTACTAAAATCTTGCACAGAGGACTATTCAGTCAACGAAGAATGTTTTTCCTTCTTCAATGTAAACTCAGCATAATTTGTGAAAAGGAAAATTAAAAACAGAAACAGCTAAAATTGATACATGTATAGAATTTTCACTGCATCGCAGTTAGCATCCTGATACAGCCTTAACAGGCACACAGTACATGAACCCAGTCTTTTTATCAAACAGATCAAAGTTAGATAAACTTAACTTTATTCATTTAAAAGTACGCTGTCAAAAGACGGTGATTTATGCAGATATAGAGGCTATGCGTTGCTGGCGTCTCGGAGGCTGTTCTTTGCTATTTCAATATCGTTACAATGAATGCAAAACGTTTATTCTAGCTTATGCCATAGGAAGAAATACCTCTAACGTGACTTAATACGCAAAAGGTCTATCGCATAACAGATACTGTATATTTATAATTGATCGCAGTACTGAGATCAGACGCAAAAGTTCATTTGGAATGTGCACAGAGCTCCGCATGAAGTCCACATGTTGAACGAAAAACTCTTAAATGAACTTGAAACCATGCCTCTATGAGTTTCAATTGCTTTGATCTGACGAAAGGGATAACGTCGTCATTCACGTTTACTTTACAAGACAAGCCCCTGTAGTTTTCTGTGCCAATTAGGAAATATCCCTTTCTGTCAGAATTATGGATTCCCCTTGAGTCCCGGGCCGGCGCGGATCGACAACTAAATTTTAGGAAGGTGAGAGAGGACTAGGGCTGCAGTGGCCCGAGGTAAAATGTACATTCATTTCATTTTCAAAATAGATTTACTTTAAAGTACATGTATTGTGCGCTATTTTCGTTCATTGGGGGCGTGACCCAATCCCGCCCGATCCACTAATCATTTGCAGACGCTATGGAGGGGAAGCTAAGAAAGGCATAAAATCATTAATGCGTCTGCCCAGGCCTGAACTAATAACGGTTGAACTTCCACAGCGATTCGTCACTTCAGCATACTGCCGGCATAATTTCATTCCGTGAATTACCAATACCTCTGGGCATTCATCAGCGCCAGCCAAAAGAAGAGCAAAAATATGCAGAATGCCACCACTGTAAAAAAGAGAAATAGCGAAAAATTATTTTAGATGTCCTCGTGTGTTTACTGTAATTTTTTGGAGGGGGGGGCTCCTTCAAGAACTCATGCAAAATCACACCATTTACTTTCAAGAATTAATGTGTGTCTGATCAATTTTGGTGAGGTGGAGTTGTTTCCAGGGCCTGGCATGAAAGATGGGATATACGGGAGTAAAGTTTAAAAGCGATTCCATGAAATTCATCCCTCTGTGCGACTTGTACCGTAAAGGCTTTCCACAAAGTCGTTGTCATTTCTGCTTTGTTACGGCCGTTTTTTCAAAGGACTAGTTTCCATTCTGAAGGTTCAGGTAACTGTCCTAATTAAACTAAAAGACAATTTACTTTGATTTTTTTCGGATGGTCCTTGCAAAATAATTTCAAATACTTTCTGCCCCCAAATTTGGTCTTAAAATCAAACATGGAGAATGCCATCAACAGTATGAATGTCATTTACTAACCTGGGACAATGTTTTTCGTAACTGTAAAAATCAACCACACAACGGCGTCGTTCACCTGCTCGCTGACTGTCTGGTTGTATCGGCAGGAATTCACGAAATGCTCACAGTTGTTTCGCAGGAGACTGTACTTCGGTTGCGTCTCACTCTTTTGCTTGTCCTTGGCTGTTTGGACGATAATGCTGGTATCAAAGGGAGCTGTATCTCTGTCTTTTGAGTTATTGATCCTGACTTGCCCTGAATTACCCAGTACGGTCTCGATTGAGTCGGCTCGTATCTCGGGCTGACTACTGGCAATGCCTGCACTGCACGAACATGTCAAGGCGGAGAATATCAACGCTCCTTCATGCAAACTAAAGTGGATAACCGCGTGTTCGATCTTGTCGTGTTCCCCGATGTATATGGCCCAGTGCGAGTAACCGCAAACACGTTTAAACTCCAGCCTATCACCCGGGCGGGCTTCGCTTGGCAGAGCCTTCACGCTAGTCGAGTCACGCCAATCGCTGACCTTCCCAAAACGGTTCTCGTTCGCCATAATAATTCAGTCCTACCAGATTATGCTTCAATACAAGTGGGAGAACGGTTTCTCGTTCACCAAGAGATTGTCTGCAAACAACACACCTTCTCAATCAAACGAAAAGGCACGGGCACCTGAACCTCATCCGGATGTTACGACAGATGTATGGAACGCCAAATTTACCATTTTGTAATGTCACTGGATAAACGTTCTTTGATGATGTCGTCAGTGTATTATGTGAAGTTGTCCATCTGTTATTGGATCTTGTCAATTTATTTGTGATGTTGTCATTCCATTATGTAATGTTGTCATTCCATTATGTGACGTTGTTAATCCATTGTGTGATGTTGTCATTCCATTATGTGATGTTGTCGATCCATT